AGAGAAAGAGTTGTGACTCGAGACTTGACGACATTGGATCCAGACTGGACATTTGGGATTCAGACATTTCGACGAGGGACTATTTGGGCCTGTGCCGAGACTTGGTGTTGACGACATTCCCATCTTCCCCTGCTCTTCGTCTTACCCCTCCTTCTTCGTCTGTGTATGTTTGGGGATGGCGCAGTCTTCTTGTGTGAAGCGCCAGACCCCCCTTCACACCAGATAACGATGATGATGATGTGTGTTCAGGGCTGCATTGCAATATTGATTGTTTGGATCATTCGTATCTAAGTCTTCCGCTGTGTTATCTTGTGCTTTGTATTGAGAGGTCGGTTCTTGTTCTGGTCTGCACATTACCGTATGCAACAGCATCCCTTTGCATGAAACCGAGTTACATAATCAAAAATCATTTAGAAATGACCAGTGCAACGCGGCCTTAGCTCAGTGGATAGAGCACCGGCGGTGGGTGCACATTGTGGTATGAGGTCGCAGGCTCAAATCTTCGGACCTGCAACCCAGCAGCGCATTCGGCCAGAGCGGGCGTCAACCAACACAGGCCAGTCGGTGGCACATTGGGTTCGCAAGTTGTCTGATGCTCAGTGGTGGAGCAATGGTGCCAATCAATGCAGGCAGGGATACGATAACAGATTTGAATTAGGCTGCCTCATTGGACTCTGCTCCCTGCGCGCAGCCCGGAGGGCGTCGACCGAAGTGGCTACTTGCGCCTACCGGGTTGCGCCGGTCTTAAAGCACCAGTACACCACACATCGGCCTGTGGGTGTCAGCACGAAACCCGCACCACTTCAGAGGCCACTAATTTTTCTTTTCAGCGGCGTCCCACGCAGCGCGGCCCCTCCGAGTTTTGCTTGTGGCAACAAAAACTTTCTGCAAGGCTGGGGCCGTGTACTTGCGGCTTAAGGGACTGGGCGGGGGGAGGAGGCGGACTCAGTGGGGAAGAGTTGGGGGAGGAGCGAGGGGCACTCTACTTTCCTAGCAGGCGCAAAGGGCTAGCATCCCTGGTGGCGACACGCGACAGTGGTGCAGGAACTGCTTCCAGGCACGTCACCCTAGAAGGATTCGAGCATGCGTCTGAGTTCGATCGTGGAGAGCCCGGCGCAGTGATCAGGGAAGCGCTGATCCAGGGTCGATACTCCCTCGTGTGTTGGTCAAGGCTAAGAGACGTCCTTGAGTGTCTCCTGTGTCGTGGATGCGCTCACTTCACCAGCAGGTAGGTGAACTCGGTGCGTCCTCCCTCGAGCACTGTCCGCCATCTCAGCCCATGCAGCTTTCCAGCATTGATTAACCCTGGTTAAGGGGGATTAACTGAAGAGTAATAGAATACCCACTTGTATTGAGTTCATCCAAACCATAGCATATCCCTCCTTTGGTTCCTTAACCCACCAGTACTTCCAGAAGTCGCGGCGCACATGCGGCCAGCCATCGCTACAGTGCCACGACGTTTCCACTTCAATGAATTTATGCCAGTGTGCCAGGCAAGCTCAACGCAGCATGTTGTGGCGAGCATCCGGCCGCAACTTCTGGACGTACTTGTGGTCTAACTTTCCCCTACATAGGGATACACCCTGTGATGTTTTTTCTTTTTTCTTTTTTTTTTTTTGTTGTAAGCACATCCTCATGGGTTTTGCATGCTCAGGTTCCCACAGGCAAGTAACGCGGCACGTAACATCGCTATTCAATACGTTTTCAAGACTCAGATGGCCTCTCCACACCACTCTCGAAATGTGAAAAAGACAAAAATGTGGTGGGTGCATCTGGCCATGTTCTAGAGGGAAGTTCATTGTCATTTTGCACATTTCGAGAGTGGTGCCGCCATGCCCAGAGACCATGTATGATGACCCCCATGTTGCATTTTCCAGAGACAAATGTTAACATCCACTAGGGAAATACCAAATAGGCAACCCAGCACTATTCGTCTGGGTGTCCTCATTCTACTCCAGCCAGGGAGGCTGTAACAGTCCTGTTGGCTTGTGAGTAGTACACTGACTACAGACGTGTGTCATCTCTCTAATATGTTGTTGTTGTTGTTGGTCATCTCTCTCTCTCTCT